CTCGGCGCCCGGCTCCGGAGAGGATTTGCGGTGCCACATCTCCTTCATGCCATCCACCACGCACAGGCTCATGTTCCTCAGGGAGAAACCTTTCTTGAACTTGGGCTTGGCAGCAGCGTGGATGGAGACATCCTCCGAGCTGCGGGACTGCCCGTAGGAGGAGACTTTGTGAGCCTGCACCTGCTGGGCCGGGGTCAGGTAGCGGCTGGCGCCCAGAGGGGCGTCCATGCTGTCCAGAGACTCTGTGGAGGTCTCCTCCTTCCTGGGGGTGACCTCCCGCCCGTAGGGGACGTGGCAGTTCTGCAGCCCCACGAAGGGCACGATGTTGTACTTGGTGGGCGAGTCAGACACGAACACCCTGCTGACCTCCAGGCTGAAGATGTCCAGGAAGTTGGCGGTGAAGTGGTGGGAGAAGGAGGTCTCTGCCCCGGGGGTGTCGTAGTGGGGGTTCTCCTTCAGGAACTGGCAGAACTTCTGGGCGAAGTCCACGGCGGCTGCCTGGGCGTGCAGCTTGCAGAACTCCCTCCAGTCGGGGAGCGGGGAGGAGGGCTCCTGGCACAGGGCATCGCCGTTCATGGCTGCCCCATTCCACCTGCCGGCGGGCTGGGAATGAGGACATGGACTGAGTGTGGTGTGGACAGGGACACAGACTGGCCCCCAAAAACAGGGACATGGACAACCCAGCCTATCCCCCAAAAACAGGGACATGGACAACCCAGCCATGGACAACCCAGCCTATCCCCCAAAAACAGTGGGGGATAGGACACAGATGGACACAGACTGTTCCCCAAAAACACAGACATGGACACAGACAGTCCCCAAAAACAGGGACATGACATCCCATCCTGTTCCCAAAAACAGGGACATGGACACAGACTGTCCCCCAAAAACAGGGATACGGACAACCCACCCTGTCCCCCCAAAACAGGGACACGGCCAACCCAGCCTGTTCCCCAAAAACAGGGACATAGACAACCCAGCCTATCTCCCAAAAACAGGGACACAGACAACCAAGCCCGTCTCCCAAAAACAGGGACATGGACACAGACTGTCCCCCAAAAACAGGGACATGGACATCTCATCCTGTCCCCCCAAAACAGGGACACAGCCAACCCAGCCTGTTCCCCAAAAACAGAGACATGGATATCCCATCCTGTCCCCCAAAACAAGGACACGGACAACCCGCCCTGCCCTCCCAACTAGGGACATGGACAATCCATCCTGTCCCCCCAAAACAGGGACACAGACAACCCAGCCTGCCCTCCCAACCAGGGACATGGACAACCCACTCTGTCTTCCCTCAAATGGGGACACAAACAACCCACCCTGCACCCCCAAACAAGGGCATGGACATGGACAACAACCCTGACCCCAAAATGGAGGTCACCCTTTGCCATGATGCCAGAGCCGATCTGCAGCTCCAATGCAAAGGAAAATGCTGTGGGAAAGTGTCTGTGTGTCGCTCTCTCTCCACCTCATCCACTAGGAAAGAATCTTGGCGCTGGCAGCAGCCATAAATTGTACTTATTTCACGATTATGACCATGCAAAAGCATTATTGATTTCTCATGAAACCGCTAAGGAGTCCCCAAGTGTTTGCCTGCAGGATTCCTCTCACTCCGTGTCTGCCTGGCCATGGCACAGCTCTCCACAGGGGGAGGGAGCACTGGGAGTCCTGGAAGCATCCACCCAGGGCAGCACCCTCCCCTCTGCACCCCACAGCTGGTCCTTCTCTTTCTCTCCAGTCTCTATTTCTGCCCTCATCCTTTGCCACATCAATTTTGGGATTTTGCTCTCCCTGCTGAGCATCAGCTGACAGAGAAGCCAGGACAGGTTCTCAGCAGAGGCCCATGAGTAGGTGGGGTGCAGGGGGAAAAGGAACAGAAGCCAGAGCCAGGAGCACACCAGAAGTTGACAGGAGCTTCAGAGCAGACCTGGGAGCCCTTGGGAAAAGCATCACTTTGCCCAAACCCCACACTGGTCCTTCTCCCAGTGGCTGTGAGACTGTGTACAGTCCAGGTTGGTGCTCATATTGCACTTCCCAAATCTCTACCTGACTCTGGGCAGCATGAGCAGCCTTCCCTGAGGGACCTCAGCAGTGACTGCATCTCCAAAATCACCTCCTAGTGCCAAAACTGCTCATGGCTGCTGGTGCTGGTGGGCCTTGGCTGGGGCACTGCTGAGCCCATGACCCCAAACATCTGGTCCCTGTGTCCAGACACCTTCCTTCCTTCACTCCAAGGGCAGCAGTTTGGCAAATCCATCTCAGCTGCTCAAACACTGGGTGCCTGCGGGATCCAGTTCTGGAAGGGCAGGACAGTT